CACCAGCAGACATACCTACTTGCATACCCACTAGAGAAGGGAGCTCACTACCTCCAGAATGGCCTGGCCTACCCTGGGGTCTGACTTTTTATGACCTCTCTCTCCTTTTCTTAGAGACCACAGACTTACATGATCCCCCTGCACCAGGGACAGGAATAGGTGCCCCCTAGGCTCTGCTTCCTCAGGCTGAGCTGCCCCCCTCCTCTGGCCACTCCTCCTGGCCATAGCCCCCAGCCCACTGTCCTGTACCTTCAGCTCGTTGAGATAGCGCCTCGTGTGCACCACCAGCAGGTCCTCGTCCGAGGCCTCCCTCGCCTCCACCAGCATGGAGTCAGACAGAAGCTTCTCTTCTGAAATCACAAAGTGAACACCCTGCTTCACTGCTGACCTCAAGGCCAGGCCCAGCCCCTGCCCTGCCCACAGGCTACAGACATAGCCTCTGGCGGCCTGTGCCCAGGAGGAAGTGGGCACTGTGGCTTGTGGGCATTCTGAGAAGGGGCTGCTTCCCTGGCCAATGTGGGCAATGGCTAGGCCCTCTGGCCAGGGGGCACTGAACATTATGCACAGTGACCCCCATGCTTCCCAAGCCACTGAGAGCCACAAGGTAAGCCCAGGTGTGACTGGACAACTTTCAGAGGCAAGTGGCACAAGGGTCAACAATGTTAACTCCCAAGGTGAGATAACTTCTTCTAAGGAATTCTCCCTCCACCTTCTGATGACATCACGGGAGGCTCACTGTGGTGTGGCCTTTCCTTAATACCTGCCTAAGCCTTGATCATCTCTCTTCTGAACCAGCAATCAGGCTCACAGCCTGCAGGCAACAGTAACCAGCCTAAATTGAATTGCAATGTTTTCATTGCATTTATTTTTTACCATGACCTTCTATTTATGGCAAGTGAAACTGCCTTTTCCCACTTAGACGACATAATATTTCCTTCTAAAACAAGTTTAAGTGGTTCTCCCCCAACCAAGGCTAAGTCATTAGAAATATGAAGTAAATAATGGAACAGGTGGCATGAGGAGATGGCAAGGTCCCAAGAGTGGTTTGCAATTGACTGATATTTCGGACACACATTATTTCCTCACTTCTGACATACACCAGACAAGATTCGCTCTGTTCTGCAAAAGAAGACAGTGAGGCTGACAGCAGGAAGTAGCCTAGGACACTGAGAACCAGACCACGATGCTCTGAGCTCTAGGGAAATCAGAATCTAGGGGACTTGTTTCAATGATTCACCCTTAGAAACCAACCCTGGTAGAAACCAATAAGCCCCATACATTTTCCACATATAGCTCCAGGAAGTACTCCCTTCCCAGAACATTCCATGGTCTCCACTGCCTTCAGGGAAAGGGCCAGCTCCTTTCCTGACACAGCATCTGAGGCCCTTTGCCATGTGGCCCCTGTCTCCCTTCCATCCTCATCCTCAGAGGAGAGAGGAGGGAACTCAGGCCAACTGGTGGCTCTGAGGTAAGGGAGATAAGGAACCCTTCTGTCGAGCTACTGGATGATGCAGGAACCCAAGAAGGAGCAATAGATAGAACAATTCCAGTTGGGTCTGCTGCAAATAGAGCATAAGGACCATATTTAGGAAGGCCAGAGAACCACTGCAAGGTGACATGCAGGTGGGCTCCACTCACCTTGCCACGGTTCTCACCATCACTGAACACCAATGGGGCTCTTAATATTTTCTTCGAATGCTCATTCTGGTCACTACCACAAATGGAAAATCAGTATCACTTGCCATAAATAGAAGTTAACCAAAAAAAAACCCAAACCAAAACAAAACAAATACAGTAGAAACAAGCAGTGTTATTAGTCTCTAATTCCGCCCTATTTTCCACAAGACACAGAGCCTGGGGCTTGCTCTAGATTTGTTGAAAAGGAACATGGGGCGGCAAGGGGTGGCTCACACCCTGTAACCCCAGCACTCTGGGAGGCTGAGGCAGGAGGATCACTTGAGCCCAGGAGTTTGAGGTTGCAGTGAGCTATGATGATGTCACTGCACCCTACCCGAGGCGACGGAGTGAGAATCTGTCTTAAAAAAAAAAAAAGAAAGAAAGAAAAAAAAGAAAAGGGAGATGGGGAGATGGGCTTAGGTGTTAAACATGGGCTAGCTGCACAGTGAAACTTTCTCCATGATGTGATCACAAGGGTCGTATGATTTAAAAATATTCAATGTTTCATCCTATGCCAGGTACATTTCCTAATTCTCTCAATTAAAGAACCCCTGATATAGGGAACAAGAATATTCATGCATGAGCCTACTGCGATGCCTGAATTTCCCACCTACATCAGGCCCCTGGATTACAAACCACAGCAAAAAACAAAACAATGTGCTCTCCAGAGCATCACCTTGCTCAGCGGAATGAGCTGTGAACTGGGGAGCCTGGAGCTTTGAGTTCTGGACCCCACTCTGCCTCTTAAGAGCTGTATGACCACAGGCATGTTTCCTAAACTTTCTGGGCCCCAATTCTCCCCATCTGCAAGCAAGGGGGTTGGAATAAAGGTTCTCTATCTCCTGGACTCTCTGAACTTCAAGGAATAGACTTGGACTCCCCTCAACTTCAGCTCCCCTTTCACTGGGCCTCCGGGGGCAGAGGCAGGACTTAGGTCCACCGCAGTGGGGAACCAGTGAGAGTCTGAGACAGGAACA